TTATGGCATCAACTAGTAATTGATTCTTACTTTTTTTGTCTAAGGAGATATATTTCATTCAAAAACTCAAACTAAATTATATATGCCATGAATAAACTTCCTTCCTATTGTTGGACTTTCTGGATATATTATGTTCTTGGCTTTTCACTGTTTGATATAATTATGGCATCAACTAGTAATTGATTCTTACTTTCCTAAAATGTTTTTGTAGGATGTTTTTTTTTATATATCTTGTGTTGATTGTTTTAATATATTTGTACGGTTGATTTAAATATCCTCATAACTTAAATTGTATAGCAAGTTATTTCCCCAAAAATCCTCTAGTGGCCTCGTAAGCGTGAAATCTGGATGCGGACGTGCCATTTATTTTGTTGAAAATAAGAAAGAATGACTTTTCCAACGACTCTCTTCTTCCTCACGGTCGACCTCTTTGTAGATGGCGGGAAGGACGTTGGATTAAAATTGAAATATGTACCTACAGACGATTTGCAAGAGGGAGGGATATCTTCCTGAAAAATGAATTAAGAAATCTGCCTTGGACAACTCCAAGGACTTAAACACTATTGTAACTTAAAATTAACAAATCATAATTGAACTAAATAACTAGCAATTTAAAATAGATTGGCGAGAATAAAATTTGCACAAATTAAATTAAACATGTTCATTGTTAAATTAAAATGCTATCTACTAGCAGATCTGGAAATTAAAATGCTACAGAATTAAAGATTTTATTCTAATTAATATTAAAATTAACATGAACAATGATTAAACTAACATGCTTGAAGTTGAAAAGAAGTATGAATACCACATAAGTAATCATTGAATAAAATGCTACTTATCATAAACATCAAATTAATTGCAAATGGAAAGTGTTAACAGTAAAAAATAGAAAAGATGGTGTGGAACCAAGATCTTTATTAATAGAGAGAATTTACAATGAAGAGATAATAATGATGGAAAACAATACCTTGCATAAACTTGAAAGATTGAAGTTCATTGCATGAAAGGAAATTGTTGAACTGAATACATGAATTAATTTGCCTATTGGAATCATGAAAAACAACATAATTCTACTGGAATCTGTGCTGAAATTCCAAATCTGGAAGCAAATTACAGAGAAAATAAAGTTTGAAAATTTGCAGATATTTGAGTAGGGCTGGCCATGTGTTATTCCTTCCAAAATTTCCTTTTTGTTCTCCTTGTGCCGATAGTAACTTCCACTTGCTGCAGTTACTCAATTATGAGTAGTTTCTTGATGATAATGGGACAGCTTACCAATTGACTTGGTCTTATCTCCTTATAGATTTTCATCATCTGTTTCTTTATCAAATAAAACCCCTCTTTAACTGCAATTCTCTCTTACATTTTACCTTAAACAGTCCTCTTTTTACCTTCATAAGATAATTACAAAGTAAAATCTTAAGTTTATCTCTCATTTTTTTTTTTTTTTGCCAAAATGACAGCTGATCTGTCATGGGATCCAAAATTATGAATCTAACTTGATCTAATCTCCTCCATTCACTAAAAAATATTTTACACATGACTTTATCCTAAAAGTTAAAATTTTATGATTTATGGTGTAAACACAAGCCTGTTCATAAATTGTAGTACCATACTCGTTATTCTTTTTATCACATACCTGAAACACAAAACTTCATGAAACATGTAATCCGACTCCAACATCATCTCCCAATAGTGATACTGGCAATCAATACCACTTTTACACTTCGTCAAATTCCCAAAAACAATTTAGGGCTGCAAGTTGGTCCCGGTCCAAAACCAGTCCAACCCAATCCGTTAGGTTGGATTGGATCATTTTTGGTTTTGGTTTTATTTCGTTTGGATTTTTATAGATCCAAAAATTTAAGGTTTGGTTTGGATCCAAAACGATGGGTTAAACATGAAACCACGAAACTTACATTAAAACCTAAAATTTTACCCCCAAAAAAATTAGAACTTAAGATAATAAAAGATAATAAAAGAATAACAATTTATTTATATATAAATTTTATACATTATATTTATATAAATTTTTAAATATTTATCTTTTATTTTTAATAATTAAAATTATATTAGTTTTTTAAATAA